ATTAGTTAAAGAACAAAATTGGAGAAATAAAAACACACCTACAACATCTAAAACTCGCATATATATTGATTCCAGACCCGATTGGAATCTTACTTTAGATAACGCAAAAAATAAATTGTCTATTTCGCTGCTACAAAATGGTAGCAAATGCCAACCAGTAATAATTGAAAATGACGGAAAATACATTTTTAAAAATACATGTGCTTTTGACAGTATTGTACAAATTTTGGCAATTGGTTGTATTAACGAAATTTTTTATGAATACGTCAAAAAATCAAACTCTAACGAACTACAATTTGTAAACTTGTTTATAAAAAACGGGGCGTGTAATCTAATTTATAAAGAAAGATTACAAATATTAAAAAGTATATTTAATTGCACATTGTACAAAAAGAACACTTTTGTAATGGATATCGCATGTACTGTTTCTTTCTTAATAGAAAAATTATTTATTAATAGTCCCAGTTGCATTGAGTGCATAGAATGCTTAACATGTAAGAAAACTAGCACTACTAAAATGGTATTTGTACCAATTAATTTTAATTATATTCAAAATAATAATTATTTAAATATGCAGGAAGCGATTGAATTTGGAAGATCCTCGAATTTAATGTGTTGTGGTAATAAACCTTTTCAAAAAAATGAGTTTAAAGAAGTATTGTTTATAGAATGTTTAAACGAAACTTGTCAATTAAATGCATTTTCTAAATTTTTGAAAGTGTCGGATAAACATTACAAACTAGCAGGAATTGTCACATATTCAGGAAGCGAACGAGTATTTCTATAGGTCATTTTTCCGCGATTGCATTAAATAATAATAAGTATATTGAATATAATGATATTTTAAAAAGCGCAAGAGTAATAAAAAATGAGGAACATAATATTAAACCCCAAGTTTGTATATATGTTTTGTAAATCATTATGCTTAATTTTAATTTTTAAAGATTAATTGCCTTGTCCATTTTGTTTATTATTTTTGCAATTGTTTTTTAATTTTATAATTAATTCTGTAAATAATGTTATATTTAAGTATTTGTATTTTTATAATTAATTTAAGAAATATTTTGTTTTCCATACCTATGTATTTTTATAAATTTGTGTTGTTTGTGAATTTGTCGTATTAAAATAAATTTTGTTGTATGTATAATAAATAAGTGTTTTCATTTAGCACCCGTCTAACGTCTATTTCGTTACAACACTGTTTACACCTTATTTATACAACTTTTAACAACTAACATTCAAGCACTAAGAATTCAAAAACTAAAGTGTGATTGGTGCAAAAAAATTTCGCAGCCAATCACACTCTACAGTTAGAATTCTTAGTGCTTGAATGTTTGTTGTTGAATGTTTGTATCAATGGGGTATTACAGTAGAAAAATTACACGCTGAACTCAGCCAGTTAGCGCATTATAGCTGCAGTGCAAACTCTCTTATAACTTTTTTTCAGTTTCCAAGAGTTATATTTAAGTTAATGTGTTAAATTTTTAGAACAATTTTGTTAACTTTTAGAACAACTAAGAACAACAAAAAAAATTTAAAAATTTGAAAAAAGGGGGCTATCAAAAAATTTTGTTTTTTGTTTTTATAGGTTTTTTTTTAAATTTTTGAAATAATTTTCTAGAACAAATTAACATTAAAAAATTATTTTTTTGAAAAATGGGGGGCTACTGCAATTTTTTAATTTTTTTAAATTTTAAAGTTAATTTTGAAAAAAAAATATTTTTTGTTTTAGAACAGTTTAGAACAACCGTAGAACAATTTGGAACAACTAAAAAAAAATTAAATTTTAAAAAAAGGGGGGCTAACTTCGTCCACTCGACTGTCAGTGCCAAATGGTTGAATTTGAATATTTGTGCTAATTTTTGTTTGTTTTTGTGGTTTAATTAAGATTTTTTTCCATTAAAGTTATAGGGGAGAGTTGGATAAAACGGGATATCGGCCAATATTTATAAATACACAGCGCTATCTAACGAGTCGTGGCGTTAATCACTATAAATAACGTTTGCTTGAATGTAGGAAGTGTTTATTCTCATTAACTGCTGTTCAGTAGTGAGTGACAACGGCAGTTTGAAAAAGAGAGGTTATACTATTTAGTTTTATTAGCGGTTAATTTAGTGTTTCTTATTTTAAACAAGCAAAATAAATAACGGTGAGTATTTTTTGTGATTTTGTAGATAATTGACTGTATTTTGCGACATTTGTGATTATGACAACTATTTTTTTTTTGTGAAAAACTTTGAAAAGTATTTTGGAATGTGCAGTTGGGCAAAATGGGATACCAAGCGGTCGGGTAAAACTGGATACTATCCCGTTTTGTCCAACCAAGAAACTATATAGATTTTCACGAGAAATTTAAACTTTACTTTTGTTACAGGCTTGTTAAAAGATGGGAAATTATAAAAGAAAAACTGAATGGCAGTCTTGGAATGAGGAAAGTATGAGCCAGGCGGTGGAAGAGGTTCTCGAAGGAAGAATGGGGTATCTTAAGGCTTCGAAACAATTTGGGGTACCTCGGACAACTATTGAAGCCAGAGTAAAAAAAAATAAAAATGGGACTCTCGAACGTGAGAACTCAGCAAAAAAGGGACTAGGGCGTTACAGACCGGTTTTCTCTATGGAGCAAGAAGAAGAGTTGGTGCGACACATTTTGTCTATGGAATCACGACTGTTTGGTTTTAGTTTGAATGACTTTAGAAGTTTGGCCTTTCAGTTAGTTCAACGCAATGGCTTAGCTAATCAATTTAACAGAGACAAAAAATGGCCGGTGAAGCTTGGTTATATAGTTTTCTAAAGAGACATCCAAAAGTTAAACTTCGCACCCCTGAGCCAACATCACTTGCTAGAGCCATGGGTTTTAATAGACCTGCCGTACAAAAATATTTTTCGTTGCTGTCTGACGTGCTTGAAAAATATAAAATACCACCCGAACGGATTTACAAAGTCGACGAGACGGGTATAATGACAGTGCCAAAGAAAAGATCGAAATGCTTATCGTTGCGTGGGAAAAGGCAAGTTGGGTGTATATCTTCAGCTGAACGTGGCGTTCTTGTCACCGTGGAAATTTGCATGAGTGCTACTGGTGTATTTATGCCGCCTACGTTCATTTTTCCTAGATCCAGAGCTAAGCCGGAGCTGCTAGATGATGCTCCTCCTGGAAGTAAAGCTTTTTTTAATTCTTCAGGATGGATGCAAAATTAGATTTTTTCGAACTGGTTCAATCAATTTATTGAGTTTTCCAAGCCCTCCAAAGAACATCATGTCCTCTTACTTTTGGACGGACATACGACCCACACAAAAAATTTAGACGTATAGAGAAAGCTAGAGTTAGCGGTGTTGTAATGCTCTGCTTTCCACCGCATACCACGCATCGTTTACAACCGCTAGACGTCAGTTTCATGTCACCACTTAGCTCATATTATACGTCAGAAGTTCAAAAATGGATGTAGCAACATCCAGGTCGACCAGTTACGATATGCCAAATAGGCAAGCTTTTCGGTAATGCATATATGAAAGCTGCTAGCATCCAAACAGCTGTGAATGGTTTTAGAAAGATAGGCATTCAACCTTTCAATCCAGAAATATTTGAAGACTGGATGTTTGAGCCAGCTCAAACAACAGACACACCGACGAACAATAATGCAACTGGTCCAATTGAAGAAAATAATAGCCGCCCTCCACCACATACACCATTACCGATAACACAAAACCTTGTTTTACGGCGATTATCACAAAACCAAGTTGCAGGTGAAGAGCAAGCAAGGCATGATGCAGAAAAGGTTGACAACTCCGTAACAACACCGGCATTGCCTCCAGATCCTGTTACACCACAAAAAACGCCCCAGATGCTTCAAAGTAAAGAAAATTTGTATAATACTCCTCCTCCTGTTTCTTGCAGAGATTTAGATGCAAATGCGACCCCCTCTTGTTCATACACCATCACGAAATTTGAAGTAACACCTCAACAAATAGTTCCAGTTCCTCACGCAGAAAGGAAAATTAATCCTAACGATAAAAGGAGAGGAAAATAGGCTGTGCTAACTTCAACCCCTTACAAAGAAGAACTGGAAATATCTGTAGTGAACAAGCCTACCAAGAAACCCAAACTGAACTTAAAGGAAAATCAAAAAGTAAAGAATAACAAAGGAAAAAATAAAAAATGTGTCACTAAGCCAAAGGAAAAAAGAAAGAAAGAAGACAGCAGTTCAAAAGAAGAGGAGGAGAACGACGAAGTTTGCATTTATTGCACAGAATTATATTCTAATTCTAAGACAAACGACGGTTGGGTAATGTGCCAGGACTGTAAACTTTGGGCTCATAAAGCTTGCGCCGGTGTTGAGAACGATGGTGAGCCGTACTCGTGCGATTTTTGTCGATGATGCTAAACCATTAATTGGTTTCGAATTATAAATATAAAACTCATATTGTTTCTCTTTTCAAGTTTTATTAAATAAATTTTATTTTAATATACTTTTCTATTCGTATTTAATTTAATCACCATCCCATTTTACCCGACCAGGTGGGCAAAACGGGATACTTTACCTTTTTTTTAAATATGACTTTTTCTATGTTATCTTCAAGCTATTCAGGAATAACTGTTCCTAAACATAGGAAGGGATCAATGAGGAAGTTACATTTAAGAAACAGCAGATAATAGCCTAGTTAGAGAGTTACGGGTCAAATAACGTTAGCTATCCCGTTTTGTCCAACTCTCCCCTACTTTTATTTGTTACGGTGTGTTATTTTCTCCAAAAACCAGGTATTTAAGATACCATTTTTTTACACCATCATTTAAATAGTTGGACCATCTAATAAATAACAGAAAAAAATGATAAGATCATTGTGCAAAAATACATGACATCGTAAGGTGGCTAATTTAAAAACAAAATTGACATCAATAAATAACGCAATTATGAATTTTGTTCCTCACTTTATCACCCCACTGTACATTTTAATAAGTATAAAAAATTGTGTTAATAATTGTTCTGTGTTTTGTGTTTTAGAATCATACAAAAGAAATTGCAGATTTGTCTGAAACGAGTTTCCAGACATACACAACTTCCTTTTTATCAAGAAGAATTTATTAAGCCCAAAACCGATTATTTCTTTTTGATAGATGAATACGTAGAACAAGGTAGGCATCATTTTAAATTTTACGGAAGAGTGAATATAATATGTGTTTTTGTTGTTATATAGGTACTTTTATTTTTTAAATTATTTATTGTTTTTCGTGTAGGCTTTTCTACTATTTTCCAGAGCTAGGATACAACAATATTAGAACCCAAGAGTAAATCGTACAGTAGGAAATTCCACATAATATACGTTTAAATTAACTACAAGCTCCATTAAAGGACCATTTATTTAAGAAATTCAATTACGAAATTTAGATAATATAATTATTATAAACCGCTGTTTAAATATTTACTTCGATTAGGATTTTTGTATTCTGGAAGGTTTTTTTATTTATCATTGTTCTTTGTGGCGACTAAGGGTGAGATTACAGAACGTTTGCAACTTTGCAGATCTACAAATATGGCGACAACTTTGCAGATCTGCAAATATGGCGGACTTACAGATGCAAGTATCAAGTTTTCGTATTCCAAAAAATATCTGCAAATTTACAACATTTATTGTGGTTTATTACCCTCAACAACACTAAACCCAAATCCACCCTCAAGGGTGAGATTACGGAAGCTCTGCAAATCGTACTTGCACATACAAATATCAGTTGCAGTTGCACTTTTTGCGTCTGCAAATCACCTGTAACTTTGCAGGAGGTTAGAACATCCTACAAACTTACAGATTGTCATTTTTTACTTTACTTTTTTTTTAATAACCATGAAGTCTTTTGTTCCATTTGATTAAATATACTTCGTGGTGTCAGATTATCGAGTTTTTAAACATAGTAATGGATTTGGGTTTAGCGTTGTTGGGGGTAATAAACAACAATAAATATTGCGAATTTGCAGATATTTTTTGGAATACGAAAACTTGATACTTGCATCTGTAAGTCCGACATATTTGCAGATCTGCAAAATTTCCGCCATATTTGCATATCTGCAAAGTTGCAGACGTTCTGTAATATCACCTTAAATCAACAATGCATCCACCATTTTTTTAAAAACATATTTCTATTATTGTAGGAATATTTTAAGTGCATTCACCATTTTATAAACATAATTTAATTGTGTACCCACCATTTTTCAAAAATACTTTAAAGTGTATTATCCTCCATTTTTTATACATTTTTTTATTGGACAAAGAACATTTTAGTCTCAATTTAAAAAAAAAATAAGAAATAAAATTGTAGCAGAATTAAAATAACAAAACTTTCCAGGAATAATAAAGCAATAAAATGTTCAGAACTAAAAAAATAACAAATGAACCATTTAAAAATAAATTGAAATCTATCAATAAACTTTTGAGCCTATAATATATTTAATTTCAAAAATAACGTAGAGTAAACACTAATAGAGAGTTGAAGTGATGCTATGAATGTAAATGTATACGTGAAAACTGACATCTACGCTTGCGCATTCAAATATCCTCCACGTTCACGTCTACGTACACACGTAAGCTTGCGGGCTCTGGCGTATGCACGTAACGCAAATAAAATAACCTCTTTTTAATTGGGAAAGAAGAAATCCTAATAATAATTGTCATTATCTGTCATAACACGTAAATGTCACGATGCGTTTAACAACTTCAACTCATATTTTGGACTATACCGTAAACATTATTTTTGAGCGTTGACGTTCACGTTTACGTTAACGTACTGGAAGCACTTAAACTCTCTAATCTCCGAAACTTTAAAATACATAGGCGTACATAATTTACAAATGCTACGATTTATTTAATTAAGTGTATGAGTTAAACGTCGAAAGAATATATTTTACAAAGTCTATAATGAATATTTAAATAATTTATTTGTATCTATGAAATGTTAAAGTTTATTGTTGAGCTTGAATTCCTTCCAGCGCCTGCAATCGAAAACAACTACGAATTTCTTATCCCTTGCATGAATTCCTTTCCGCGGAAGGGGAGGTAGTGTACTGAATTAAAAACAGTTTTTGGTTGCTTTTAAAACAGATTCGTGTTCTTTTAAGAAAACAAAAATAGTGCGAAATATTTTCTATTAAGTGATGTAAGTAGATATATATTTTATGGTTTTAAATAAATAAGCACAACTGAATTATAAACAGGTGAATAATTACATAAATTAATTATTATTTTATATAAATATAAATGATTTTAGGTAGTTTGAAGAGCAATCACGAATCGAAGATAATTTGAGGATTTGAAGGCTTGAAAAACTTCTCTTTGGTACCCATGTAAAGCAATGAATTAAGTTTAGTAATTGCTGTAACAACCTACAGTAAGATGAAGTTTATTTCTAGAAATAAATAGTCAATAAATAATATTAATAAAATTTTATAAAATCAAAGCAAATAGTATATGAACGTCACCAATCAGGTGAAAAGACAAATGTATGAAAAAAAAATGATTAGATATAAATAAGGTTAGTATTTAAATATTATTTTTAGCTTTTTTCCAGGTCTTCTGACTGTTGACCATGAGTTGAGTCTCAGTTGTTTTAAACTCAAAGAGATGGACTGGTTGGATTCCTCCACTAGCTTTATTTGGTGCCTTTAAGTAATTCGGTGTCTAGGAACCTCCGGATTCCAGACTAGATATAGTAAAATCAAAAATGAAACTTTAGATTGAAATCTGAATGGAAATGAGATTAAAAATCAGCATAAGAGTGAAAGTGAAAGTCTGCATAAGAGGCCTAAACATACATTGCCAAAATTAGGACGATAAAAAGTTTAATATTATTGTTTTTTTTATGTAGGGGTTATTCTTTAAAAACTCAACTTGGATGATGGGTGGCCACAAAGAGGCTTCAATTGAAGTAAGTTAATACAAAAAAAGGTGAAAAACTTTAAATATTCGGAACTTTTATCCACAATGTTGAGATTATTGTTTAGTATTAACACAAAATCTTTTAGTTTACTAAATATGAGGTTTTTCGAAGAAAATCCGCAAAATACGGGCACGCTTCTTTCTCAGAAAATGTGCTTAATGCAAAAAAAGGCAAGAACCACTTTTTTTACTAATATTTGCCGCGAAGTTTTAGGAATAAATTGTTTTAGTTGGTATCCTGTTTTCTTTTTTTAATAGATTTAAGAGAAATTACTGTTTTAAGAATTAATGACAAATTAGAAATTAAAAGAAGAAACAAGGAAGAATATGACAATTCATAGACAAGGTTATATTTGTTTGTTTACAATATTTGAATATTTCCAATTATTATTTTCTTTTATTTTAAAAATGAAATATGGGGGAACCAACCAGCCAAAATCATTGGATTCTTCTCGAAAAATAGCACATAAAATTTATAGTTATACAAATATATTCTATTAAATAAAATTCATTTATTAAAGTTGAAGGTGGTAGCCATGTGTGAGTTATAAGTTCAAAAAGGTAAATCAAACAAGGGTGGTCCTTAGGATCTCACAAGAGTATTTTATTACGACCGGTTTCGAGGATCAAATCCTCATCATCAGGTAAGGTCTAAAAATAGAGAGGAAAAACGAATGAGCTCATAACTAATAAGTGGGTTTAAACATTTTAATATGAAAGTTGTCAAATATCAAGAACTCACCCGTAATTACTCATCTATTTAAGACTAAGCTAATAGAATTATCCTAGGGTCATGGATCAACCAGGCATATATGAACTCAGTTGTAAGTCTTGCCTAGTCAAATATGTAGGTAGAACCTTTCGTAATTTTAGGACTAGACTTAAAGAACATTTAAGATGTTTGAATACTGCCACAACCGGCTTCTCACATTTTGCCACCCATCTAGTAGAGTCCAATCACGATTTTGACTCAGGGGATGGCTTTAGGGTACTCCATATTTGCCACAACAAGTTGATATTGAATAATTTGGAGAACCTAGAAATATTTAGATTAAGAAAAAGTAACAATGCATTATCACTAAACTCACAAGTTTTTTCCGAATCCACACCCACGTTCTCAGTTCTTTTTTAAAAATCTACGTTTCCCTTAAATTACCCCCCCCCCTTTTACTTTAAAATTTCCCTATGAAATTATTAGTTATACTTATCTTATTTTATTCTGTCTCTTTTTCCATTTTCATTTTTCAGCACATTACTTCAAAAAAATAATTAACCAAATCAATAGTTTTTCTCTCTTTTCATTTTAACACCATTTCCTTTTCCGTTGATTGTTACCAACTTCTTAATTTGAATATTAGTACATCTAAAATTATTTTCCAATGCTAATGCTAGACTCTACTTTTAACAATAATAATTTATTTATTTCATTTTGTTTATTACGTACAAATTCAAACAATTCAGTTTATAAACCTATATTATTATTAAGAAACATTTATTTTTTCGCCAACGCCATCTATTAGCCGATGGTCAAAATATTTAAATTTGACAACCTCTAAACTGTTATCTTAAATATTAGAATGGTTAATTCGTCTATTTATATCTTGAGGGCGTTAATCAGTTATTAATCTAAATAAAATTTAATTCCTGTAGAATTATAAACACTTGTCCAAGAACCCATTTTAGTGCTTGTAGGGTTTTTTAAAAAGTTTTTAAATTTGTTTGTCTTAATTGTTCGTCCGTTCGTGAAATATTTTAATAATTTTATTAATAGTTTTAGACCTACTTTTGTTTATGTTGTTTTGACATCAACTTTTTGTTGCAACTATTGTTTTTTTTATATTTTTTATGTATTTTAAAAAATACTCGCATACTTGTTTTTACACCGACCCTGGGATAATTCTATTAGCTTAGTCTTAAATAGATGAGTAATTACGGGTGAGTTCTTGATATTTGACAACTTTCATATTAAAATGTTTAAACCCACTTATTAGTTATGAGCTCATTCGTTTTTCCTCTCTATTTTTAGACCTTACCTGATGATGAGGATTTGATCCTCGAAACCGGTCGTAATAAAATACTCTTGTGAGATCCTAAGGACCACCCTTGTTTGATTTACCTTTTTAAAATTCATTTGTTTTGTAGTAGGTGTCAGAACAGCAGGGTAAAGAAAGTTGCGCAATTATTTATTAATATTGAAATATTACAATATTT